TAAGTAAAATAAAGTACCAAAATAACAAAATACAATTCCAATGATATCTATGACAAGGTATAATACAGAAATGAAAGGTAAAATGATAAATCAACATACCTGTAAAAATAATGGAAATACACCAGTCAGGAATACAGGAAAGCTTGTGACTTTAATGAAGATGGTGTTGCCTTGAACATTGCATGAGAAACAATGAAGGCAACTTCCTGTCCCTGCTGATGTGGCACTTTTGGTCAAGTCCATTATGTTACAGGGGAGAACAATTCTGGGTCGATGCATTATATGAAGGGGGAAAAAGTTAACCAACAATTAAAAAAAAGGGGGGGGCAATTTCCATGACCTCTACACTTGGGCACATTTGGTAATTAGTCAAAGAAATAATCTTGAAATTCGACCTCGTACTGGCCTCATGTTCATGCATATTTTGCACACAACCACTGTAGATGAGGCAGGGCAGGTTACAATACATTTTCCTTGCAGAACTATCATGTTGAAGTTCAAAGGCAAGACAACTTTTTCCCATATTCAAAATTTCCTTGGGGCACTTTTCTCATCTGAAAGTGTGCATCATAAAACAAGGAGAGATAGGCCTAAGTACTCTAATCAATTCACAGAATCATGCTTTGATTAAGACTGGCTAGATTGCTCCTCTTAAACTTCAGGGGGGTGCCCTTTACAGTTACTTTTTAAGCATTTTCATCATCTACAAAATTTCAGCTGTTTTTGTAACTGGGCCCGGAAGCCTATACAGGTGGTCAATGTAGCTTATAATATTTCCATTTACTAAAGAACATTTCACTTGAAGTTCTGTACATGTATTGTTTCTTCATGGTCTGACATATAAGCAGCTGTTCTCTGAGTATCTAAATTTAAGAACAATTTTATACTTATATTTTCGTGCATCTTTTATGCAAGATCTGATGTGTAGCATTTGGACAGGCTATTGTTTTGGAAAAATTGAATTCTACTGCAACCTAGTATACTATGTGAATTCCCTGTGTACTGACCATGCAAGTGACCACTTCTTAAATATAATTTTTCTGTTTGTTTTGAGCAGAAGCATCCCCTCTCATCAGTTGAAAAGAGCTGTGTTGGTCAGGAGTGCTCATTTTGTTGGCNCAATTTCCATGACCTCTACACATAGTCATCTCGACATTTGGATATTTGACAGCTGACTCAGCGTAGACAGTTCTCGGAAGAAGGCTTCAGCTGACACTAGCCTTACTTAAGAGTTTGCCATCTGCAGTTCGTCATCACTCAGGGAAAATCAAGGTCAGTCCCTATTCATGCCCCGATTTATCTAGGTGTGATCCTCGACCCCTCTGAGGGCTCCGGCACACAAACACAACAGTTCCTTGGCCTGATGACGAGCCTGGTGGACCTGGTACCTCTTCATCATCTTCATAATGAGGCCCCCCCAGTCCATTTACTGGCATTCTTCTGGTAAAATTGTGACCTGATCAACCTCCCAGTTTTCATAATGGACCTCATCCAGTCACACCTTCGCTGGCAGCTGATAAAGAACCATCTGATTCACGACCTCCCTCTCCCAAAGATAGATCCTTACATGTAGCTGACAATTTTCTACCAATCTGTCTCAATTTGCATGGGATGCTTCCCTTCCAGACTTTTCAGGTCTAAGGGACAGGAGTGCCTCTGTTATTGGACAGTCTCTTCAACATTCTGGAACTACAGGCAACCTTCAGTGCAATACGTCACTTCCACATGGCGTTGGACTCTGGGATTGACCTGAAGGCAACCCATATCCTGGCAGCAAACATTACAACTCTATTGCAGATGTGCACTCACAGAAAGATTCACCTGACGGAGCAGACTCTGCATTGCAACATGGCTGAGTTAATCCTCCAGGCATTCGAAATTTCACACATTGAGTTTTGTCCACAACAGAGAACACTTGACCACTGATGTTCTGCACCACATACACACATACATAAGCCTGGGCAACAGACGTCCTCCCTTTTAGCTTGAAAGGGTTACTTGCCTACGTACCTACCTTTCATCCTAGCAGTTCTGTATGAGATGTTCAAGAGTGTTGCTATAGTCTTCTCTTCGCTCCGCTCTTGCTTCACCAGCCCTGGTGCCCTGATTAGTCAGGCTGCTACTATAAGTCTGCACCAACAGATAACAACTTTCTATGTCATGGTGTGTTGGTCTTTGTGCGGCTCCCTCAGAGGCGCCTTGAACCGCAGTAGCCAACTTTCTTTCTCATACGTACTTTACTCAGAACTGCAGTTAACATTCATGCACAAGTACTGTTCTCTTGTCAGAGCTATCCACTGTGGTTCCCCCTGTTGACTGCCCTCCCTCGGACAACACTGCCCTCAGGTACCCTCCTCTTGGCACGTTCATTGAGCGTTCCCCTTCAAGACAGCACATTCCCATTTGGGACCTGTCTCATGTCCTTCAGCTCTTCAAAGGTCTTCCCTCCCAAGCGTCTCATTGAGGCTTCATCATCCAACACCTCGGGGAAGCTGGCCTTTCTACTTAAAAGTTACCATTTTGTTCCGGAGCAGTAGGTTGCTGATTGTTACCATCACAGATGGTCCCATCAGATGGTAACACCATGGCATCTTTTTCATTCCAGCCCTAGGCTTCTGCACAAAGTCCTATTCAAATTCAGCCCACTGATAAACCTCATCAAACAGTAATCAGAGACACATATGGCTAGTTGGGTTTCCTCAGCCATTCAGTTTACCTGTTCCGAATGGCTGATCTTCCCAGATCAAAAACCTGATGGCCCTATCACAATTCATAATGTTAGAGTAGACATCCTTCAGCAGTGTCCTTTTGGAAGGGCAGCATGCTGGAAAACACTATCATCATGCTACTTGAATAAAGCCTTGCGATGAGTCCTTTCATTGCGAGACAATACTCGCCTCTTCACTGAGACCATTAGGACCTACAGTATACTGGGTGAACCACCTCCAGCTCTATTTTAAGGCCTTCCTTCTTTGGTGGTCCTCATCATTCCACACGGTCTTCCTCATTTTCAGTGCCTCCTCGCCAACCTTCCTCTAGAGAATGGTGCAGCTCTGCAAATAGTGACTATTTGGGTAGGATGAGCACAGTCGACTCCTCCCCCACAGTAGTGTTGGAGAGTCTGCTAGCAAATACCTACCAAACAGTCGTGCCCTCCCGTCCTTCTCATCCGGCTTGGATCTTGGGCTCCAGAAAAGACGGACGAACATGGTGGCAGTGCCGCAATGTATTGTGATAATAGAGGACGCACTACAGTTGATTCAAGTTTTAGCATATGAAATAAGGCACAAAGGAAATTTGCAAATACAGGTATAGTGACTGTTTGGGTAGGTATTCCCTAGCAGACTCTCCCACACTATTGTGGGGAGGATTTTGAAATTTTGTTGTATGTCTGACACTCAAGGTGGACTACTGACCATATTTCACTGGAATTTGAGGAGTTTTGTAGCCTCAAATCTGACTGAACAATTTATTTGGATCTGGAACTACATTGCATATATGTAGGAAAATGACTGGAGTCGTAAGGTATCGATGACACACATCTTCATAAAAAATAACGCAGACACTAAAAATTTAGTCCCATTTTATTTCATGGACATTATAACATTCATCATATTTTGCAATCACGAACGCAATAAGTGGATTTGGATACTGTAAAAAGCCATAAATGTGTGATTTTAATTAAATTCTTTTATGATGGATGCTTAAAAATCATCATAAATAGCCTAAAACTAAATGAAGATAGGCCCTCCTACGGTACATGTTCCCTGTTCTAAAAGGGTAAAACCAACCCAGCCCTCTCACCCCAGCAGGGTGTTGCCCTTGCATCCCACCAGGGCCCTTGGGTGGGCCCCTGGACACCCAGCCATGAAATTAGCTGGCACTCAAGTTTGCCTAGCTACAACCCTGCATGGCAAGTCAATCAGAAAGTCCATTGGGAACAAGGCTGTTGCTGCCCCACACCAATATCCAAGACCTTCCTTGTAGTTCGTTTAGAGATAGCTGTTTGTCTGGAGATAGCTCCCTTTAACAGTGATGATTTATGATGGCAGAATAAACTACAGGCACATAGTATGTAGCCATGTGCCAAATAGTTGTTGGAGCTCTGTTAATCTTAATTTATTGTTTTTGTAATTGCTCATAGTTGTATTAATATCTTTCATGCAGATATTTCCATCATTCACATTCAGCATGGAATCCCATAGTGTGCTTATAAACTTGGTCAATTTCATTTGAGGACATCATCATTCAAGAATAAATGTCATTTGGTCTGTGTGATGTAAAGTTGAAAGGATTTGTTTTTCAGGTTTGAAGCGTGTCCAGCGTAGTCGCTTGGACATGGTGAAGAACCGCGCTGTGGACTGGGCTTTAGGTGAGGCTCTAGCCTTTGGGTCCTTGCTGAAAGAAGGCATCCATGTCAGACTGAGTGGGCAGGACGTTGAGAGAGGAACCTTCAGGTACTGGCCAAAGATGTCTCTCTTTTCACCACCCACTCTCCTGAAAAAAGACTAGAAGACTCCAGTGTTTTTATGCAAACGGTGGTTTTGGGCTCATCGTGTGAGGAGGTGGTAAACATGTACGTTTGGACATGCATGCACCCTCTCTCTTACGTTATGGTCTTGTAGTTACCTGTGTTAATGAAACGTATTCAATGAACCCGTACCATGCCACAGATCAAGCCTAGTATAACATTAACATCGTCAATACAGATCCAGATTAATATACAGTATATCTAGTATCTATGCTTTTCAGCAGCAATCATTGGTTCTGCCTCTTGTTTATATATTAGCAACTGTAAACCAACCTGGCACATCAAAGCCAGGAACATGGAAGTTTCAAGAAACCCCCCAACTGTTACAAACTTACGAGAAACCTTTAAGTCAGAGATTGAAAACCAGTAGATCTTAAGACTCATCCATAGTCCTCATTCTCTTAATTATTAAACTGTGATATATTGTTATGAGCTTTAATATATTTAGAGAGCCCAACAGGCTTAAAAATACAAAAAACTTATTAACTAAAGATATAACCAGGTGTTGAGAATGAATTATTTTGCGTTAAGTTTTTCAAATCCGTAAGGTAGGAAAATGATTTGCAAGATGGTACTCCTACCTCCCACAGAACAGTGGTTTCTTCTCCTTGGATACAAATATTCACACTTTTTAGTTTTAAAACAGTATGCTTCTAGGTTTGTCAATACTTTAAAACAGTATGCTTCTAGGTTTGTCAATTCTTTAAAACAGTATGCTTCTAGGTTTGTCTATTCTTTGGTTTTTGAGGTTAGTTTTTAATCTGTTCTTCACCATAGTCACCGACATCATGTTCTCCATGACCAGAATGTTGACAAAAAGTACCTGTCTCCTCTGAACAACCTGTACCCAGATCAAGCCCACTACACAGTCTGCAACAGCTCCCTCTCCGAATTTGCCGTCTTAGGTGAGTACATTTCAAGATGGCAAAATATTACCACCTTGCGGAAAGCATACAAGCATGATACAAAGTGTATTGAAAACAAAATATCTGGAATTTGGCATACCAGCTCACAAAATGTGTGCACTCGATTATCACTTGGCTACGGTGCTGTTAAGTTTTTTGAAGATATCCATTCACCTGATGCTTTTTTAGCTGTTTTGGCTGTCAGCCGGAACAGCTGTTGTTTTCGTAAAAGTTTTTTTTTTTTGTTGGCTTTTTCGCATTTTGTGAAAAGGGCTTTCTTTTTGTCAAGATTTTGTTTCTTCTTGTGGTTATTCACCAAAAATCCTGTTTCTTTTGTACAGTTTTTCTACACAGCACTTTAGACCCTTTGCAAGGTTCAATCTTCATCAAAGTTGCCTCATGCAAAGACAGTATAGTAAAGATGTGCCCGGAAGCATGACGTCATAATGACATCATCACCTCATTTCTATGCATTTTGTAGTATTTAAGTTTTCCCCATAGGTTTGTTCACATTTTTCAAGAGCCAGACTTCGGCACTTTTATCGATGTGACCAAATATATTAGGTGCAATTAACTCTTCGTCCACCAGCTAGAGAGGGTCCGTCAAGAAAACTGTGATCATGACATCATCAGGTGTCACATGACAGGGCATTTAATGATGCAAACTTTGAATCCCTATATCTTCTGGAGTAATTGTCCCATTGAGATGAAACTTTGCAGATATCTAGAGGGGGATGTGTGATACACGAAAATTGACCCCATGGAAGGATGACATCATCAGTTGACAAGTCACGTGACATGAAAGGTGCATCCTTTAAAGCCCTACATCTCCAAAAGTATGTCCCAGTGGGTTGAAACTTAGCAGATATGCAATCATGATGATTACATTTTCATTCAAAAGCTCAGAAATGCAAAAAAGCCCTATGTTCTGTTGCAAACAGACATAGAAGCTCTCGTTGGCTTTTTTCGCAATTTTGCGAAAAAGGCATTATTTTTGTTCTGTTTTGGGGCTTTTTCGCAAGCCATTCCTTGTGTTTTTTTTTTATTCCTTTTTCTTCTTCTGCTCAAAGGGCGATTTGTTTTGTGCACATTTATTCTCTACACGACTTTAGTGCTTTTGCAACTTTGGATCTTCGTCACACTTGTACCAATGAAGGATGCACAGATGGTCCTTGAACAATCACGTCATGATGACGTCAAGTGATTTATTATTGATTTTTTCAATATTTATTTCAGCCCATTGACTTTGCACAGGTTTTCAAGGTAACATTTTGGTTGTTCAACAATATTCAAATGTCATCAAAGTTACACCAAGGAAACCTAAGGGCAAAGATAATACCCAAATAATTACGTCACAATGACATCATCAAGTGATTTATTAACTTTTGAATATTCTAATATATGTTAATTATTTTAAAATCCATAATATACATATTATTAATATACATGTAAAAGTATCCGTGGCTTCCCGCAATATTCTGTTTGTGGCAAGTGCCAAGGTAAAATTGGGTCTTCATTTCATCTCGTGTGGATCAAATCATGTGACCCTTACTTCCGGTCGAAACCGGAAGTGGGATTATTGTTTAAAAGTGGTAATAGGTATCAACTTGCTTTCAACGATGTTAGCCAATGGGGGTATATTATTCTTCAAATCATGTACTGATGACGTCATGTAATTATCGAGGGCCTTCTAGCGACACGTTAAAAATTCTGAAAAACGAATTTTGACTAGCTGTCTGTGGCGAAGTTTGTTCAAATCGCCTGAAAAAAGAAGTGCATGATCATCTTCACCCAGTCAACACATGTGTGAAATTTGGGGCCGATGACCTCATCAGATCGAAAGTTGTGTTATTTTTCCCCATATGTTTTGTATTCATTTCTCTAATTAATACAAGTGAACGAGTACTCCTTTACCTGGCTGAAGATTACTATAAGAACGAAAGAGAAATCGGGTACTTTACGCTCTGTTATATTATTTGAATTATGCCTAAGATTGCAAATATGAAGTAATATTTCGTAAAAATTGTTCAGGTTAAGGGAAAATCATGTGACGTGAACTTAAAGGAGCAGTGTTTCTGCAGACGAGTTTATGGCCCATTGACTTGGTACACGTTTTCGAGCCACAATTTTGGTAACTTTGCGATGTTTGATCGTGGACAAAGTGATATTGCAAATGGATGACGTCATGATGACATCATCAAATAATTTATTATTGATTTTTAGACATTTAGTTCGTCCCTTTGACTTTGTATTTATTTTCAAAACACTGTTTTGGCAATTTTGCAAAACTGAATATTCACCAAAGTGTCATCAAGTAACAGCCCCTATCAAAAGATTGTAAAGTAATACAGTGATTCATTATTGATTTTTCAATTCTTTGTACCATCCAGTAGACTTTTTAAAAGTTTTGAAGGCACAATTTTTGGTCTGTGTGCAAACTTTCAATGTCATCAATGTTATACCAAGCAAAGACCCCATAAAAATATTATGCCGAAATATTGATGTAAGTATGACGTGAGAGCCTGAAACTGTCTTGTTTATAGTAAATGACTTGAATTAACCGAAAAAGCCCTCTGTTCTGTTACGCAGACAGAGACCTCTAGTTGGCTTTTTTGCAATTTTGTGAAAAAGGCATTCTTTTTTTTTCCTGGTTTTTTTTTGCTTCTTCCTTTTTCTTCTGCTCTAAAGCCCATTTGTTTTGTACACGTTTTTTTCCGAATCACCTGAAAATTTATATAGATGACCATCTTTACCCAGTCAACACGTGTGTGAAGTTTGGGGCTGATGACGTCATCAGACCAGAAGTTACAATAAAAATGTCTTTATTCTTCAAAATTCGGTAAAAAATCAACCACAAGCGATACAAGCGTCAATTGTGCACGAGATGACAGCTAAAACATTGGAGTCAGCTGCATGAAGTGCATAACTGGTGTACTTTTTCACGCACGTGAAGCGCTGCAGACAAAAATCCCCTAAAATATAAATTGCCAACTCGAAAACCCCATTAGTATGCTGTGCATATGCTACTGTGTGTGTGGACGCCCAATATCTGCCTGCAACATAGACGGCGCACAGTGCGTAGGGCATTATAGTCGGGACGTGGCAAAATGCCGACCACATGCTGCCGAGAGCAGATCGCATTGTATGGAACGCCAAAAGGGACAAATGTTTAAGATATCTAATCTGTGCCTTTTCCATGATAATTATAATGTTTTCTATTGCATATTGCCTTTTCCATGATAATTATAATGTTTTGTATTGCATATTGTATTGTACATGTCTTAGTGTGTTGAAACCTTGCAGGCAGTTAGGAAGGGAAGGTTTACACACAGAAACTGACCTCACGTGATAACAATGCCATCAGTAGACGAGTCACGTGACATTAAGGGTGCACTCTTCAAAGCCCTATATCTCCTGATGTACATTTCTGATGGGGTTCAAAGCTTGCAGATGTCTTTAAAAGGGAGTCCTTTAGAGGTATATTTACCTTATGTGATGATGATGTCATCAGGAGAACTGTCACGTGACATTACGGGTGTAACCTTTAAGGCGCTATATCTCCTGAAATAGATATCCTATAGGGTTCAAATCTTGCAGATATCATGAAAAGGGATTGCTTTAAAAATATATTGACCTTGTGTGATGATGACGTCATCAGGAGACAAGTTACCTGACATTAAAGGTGCACACTTTAAAGCCCTGTATCTCTTGAACTACATGTTCTATCAGGTTGAAACTTTGCAGATAACTTGAAAGAGAGTTGTTACATACGAAAAATGATTTGATGTGATGATGCCTTAGTTGTTCAAATGTACAAAAGAATGCATAAAAGCCTTCTTCTGTTTGCAAACAGACAGATGACTTCTTGTTTCTTTTTTCAGACTTTTCCCATAGAGTTTGTACACGTTTTCTTGTCCCATAGGACTTTGATAGTTTCATACACCCTGATCGACTTCAAACTTGGCGGACCTTCAGACAATCATCCTAGGATGATCCTCTAACAACTTCATCATGATGACCTCATCACTTGAATTATTGTTGAATTTTGAATATTTAATATTTTGCCATAGTGTTTGTACACACTTTTTTATTACACACTATCACTGAGCTTAATGCGTGAGTAGTCCTCAACTCCGACTGAGAATTACTACCTGAACAAATGAGAAATCAGCTAAATATTCCCTTTTGTTTAAACGCAAATCATGTGGCAGCAACTCAAAAGAGCAGTTTTTCTCCATGTGTTTTTAACCCTTTGACTTTGTACATGATTTCCAGCCACCATTTTGTTAATTTTTCATTGTTCCATCTTAATCAAAGTGATAGGCAGAAAAGATCCTGATACAAGAAATATTCTAAACATTAAACGAATGATGTCATGATGACGTCATCATCTGATTTATTATTGATTTTTCAATATTTAGTTTAGCCCATTGACTTTGTTCATGTTTTCAAGTCACCATTTTGATAACTTCATGATGTTTGATCATTATGTATTTATTTATTTATTTATTTCTGATGACCAACAGCAGTTACCCGCCACTTACAGGCATCCATGAGAAATAGATAAAATCTCTGAATTAAATAATGTACAAATAAATAAATTATACAAATAACCTTAAAAATTATAAAAATGAAAACATCCTAAACTTGGCAAAGTCTTAAAACACCAGTACTGAAGAAAAGTGGGATATGCATGGACAGACAAACAGGGCTCCATAGAGAGACACAAAAGGAAGGTGGGGGGCCATAGAGAAGGAGGGAGGGAAAGGGAAAAAGGATGAACAGCACATGTACATGGAACATAGGTGTGGGAACAAAGAACTGAGGCAAGGGGGACGAAACACAAGGGATAAACATTGGGGAAACCAGAGAGGGCAAAGATCAAAGGAAACAGAATAAAAAGTTGATTAGTGGAGATGTGAGGGCCAAAAAGGGATTGAAGGGATGGGAAAAAAGTTGGAGTAATGGTATCACTCTAGAAAGAAATCATAGGGCTGAATAAACACAAAGGAAAAAAAAAATAATAAATAAATAATACATTTACTGTACATATAATCTGGTAACTCCTACATACACATCACAGTTTCAGGAATGTGGTTGTGTTCTGTGGTTGTTGCTGTAACAACCACCACCTCTAGTTGATACTTTTTTTAGGATAGCTATTCACTGTATACTTGCTTCGTAATTTTTTGATACCCTTATATTACTTTTGCTTTTAGGATTTGAGCTGGGTTTCTCCATGACCAACCCCCATTCGCTTGTCATCTGGGAGGCTCAGTTTGGTGACTTCCACAACAATGCCCAATGCATCATTGACCAGTTCATATCCAGTGGACAGGCAAAGTGGTGTCGCCAGAGCGGCATTGTCATGTTGCTCCCTCACGGATATGAAGGCATGGTAAGACACAAGTATCCACCATATCCCTCTCGGGGGCAGGTTGAGGATTGGCTCTGGTTGGTGAGCAGATGCTTCAGAGAAGTATGAGGGAATAAGGTTTTACTCACCATTTCCATTTTCGCTGTTGTAGGCTGAAATAGGCCAGGAGCAAAAACCCACTTCAGTAAATGGAGGTTTTCTTGATAAAAGGTTGAAAACTGGATGCATCACTGGTATTCTTGTCAAATACCATTCAAACCTGACCAATGTTTAATCAAGAACCATTTTACTACTATGGATTGATTATACATGTAGATTGATTTTTAAGACCAATACCTTCCAGTACACTCCAATAGTAATATGTGGACCATCTGTAGTCAAAATACAGTCAAACATTGTCATAACAGCTCTTAGTCCTGTCTTTCTTTTGTGCATATTGATAGGTGTGACTGTTAATAATTATCAATGTAACAAAGCTTCCTGCATGTTGGTACCAAATAGTTGACTAGACTACATGTAGTTCAACCATCATAATTAAGTCAGATTTAAATAAACTGCTGTAAATCCTATTTTAAGAGCAGATTTGCTCTCGCGTGACCTTCTTGCACTGTGTGGCCCTTGTGTGGCAAGAACATGAACATTAGTATGACTTGAGGGCACTTTTTGCATTGGTATACAATTTAGAAAATGTATCAGACGATCACTGGTAAACTACCTCCAAGTACATGTACAGTGCAGTTTTACTTATATTGTCAGAAATTGCTTGCACACTTTCATTTCACAATTCAATTATTCAATTCAGCATGAACAGTCTTGTTTGTGTGGACCATAACTCAATAGATGTCCACTTCACTGTAGATTCCAATGTCAGACAAGTGGTTAAAGAAGTGATTATGTAATCAAGGTCAGAGTTCTGCTTGGTATAGTAATTGGATCACACTATAGTAAACATGTCGGCTACCCTCTACAGTACACTCACCTGCACAAATATACGCAGTATTTGAAAGCTCTTCCTGTGTTTTTCCCATTTAGAGTCCTTAAGAAATGACACATGCGACTTTCATTTGTATAATCACTAACAAAACAGCCATTGCTAAGCAAAAAGTAAATACAATTATTCAATACCAAAAAATCATCAACTCAAAGCGCTCGTACAAAACAAAATTAATGGCAGATCCGGATGTTATGCATGAAGCATGATCTCCATTACAAGTGAATGTTCAGTGAACCGGTTCCAGATTACATACACGAAACTCTTTGCTGGAGAGGAGTAACATTTCATTAAGGCATATTGCCATTTCATGTCTCACTTTTTCCTCTGGACAGGGACCAGAGCATTCTAGTGCTCGCATTGAGCGTTTCCTGCAGATGAGCAACGACGACCCTGATGTTATACCAGTGAGAATTCAAATGTCTGGATAAAGAAAATATCATGCTTATAACTAGACTTCCCATTTGGAGTCTTGTAAAAGAAGCGAAAATCTAATATTACCAAAAACAATCAGCAAACGTTTGAAAAGTAGGAACAAGAAAAAGTTTAAATGCATTTTTTTTTATTTACAGGATGCTGTGTTACTAAGTATCTGTGAAGTTGCAAATCTTAGTGAATTTCAAGCATTTTCATATCTTAATGAATCTTTTGCATAACAGAAATTGCTTTGTCTGGTGGTATGGAGGCTTCTTCCGATGGTACCCAAGGAACTAAGGAAGTTCTTTTTTTTATAGAACTGTCACATTGTCATTGGAATAACTGTGTTTCATAGTAGTGTAATGGTGATTTGTTGCATACATGTATGTAGGCCCTGAATGATGACTTTGTTGTGAATCAGCTGTACGACTGCAATTGGCAGATTGCCAACTGCACCACACCAGCCAATATGTTCCACATTCTGCGCAGGCAGATCATGTTGCCCTTCCGGAAACCGGTGAGTCGACATGTGCAACTGTTCTGTGTCCATTTCACCACACAGAAAGACATGATTATGTTACTGATCTGATGGATCTATGTTCTCTTCTCAGCTCATCGTCTTTACACCAAAAAGTCTTCTCCGTCATCCTGATGCCAAGTCATCTTTTGATGATATGATCGAAGGTAATGTTCATTGATTGTTTGAACTCATTTTACTAGTTATAAACCCTGCTGGTCCCTTACTCAGGCTATCAGGGTTATGCTTCACATCTCAGATCTTTTGAAAAATCCCTGTCTAAGCAGATGGCTTATGAAAACAGTTATTTCAATGGGGTATTTGTTATTAAATAGACTTATCTGGTGAAAGACATTATTGAGCTAGCATCACACTCCTGTGTGTTACACATGCCCTTTAACTTGAAACACACATGAACTTTTGTAAAGTGTAGAGGTGTTCAGTGCATGCTTGGACATCAATGGAAACATTGTCACACTATGAAATGTGGGTTTCTAATTCTTGTTGCCAGATGAGTTGTCCGACTGCCTTGGAAAATCACTTGACTTTGGGTTGCATAATAAATTTCTATAGTTTATCACAAACAAATGAATTTCACCAAACGGCATCATTGAAAGCTTGGGTTTTGTTTCAGGAACAATGTTCAAGCGTGTTATTCCGGAGGATGGAGTGGCCACTCAGAATCCCAGTAATGTCCGCAAGGTGGTACTGTGCTCAGGGAAAGTGTACTATGACCTGGTGAAAGAGAGGGAGAAGAAGGGTCTCAATGCTGATATTGCCATCACTAGATTGGAACAGGTATCCACCTAGTTGCACAAGTTCCCCCCCCCTCTGGTAACAAACAGAAAGGTTAGGGTTGCAGAGGAGCACTATTGGCTCTGAACGCCTAGTGCATGCCTGCCAACTGTTCTGAGTTAGTCAAACTTTAACCACTTCTAACCATTTTTCAACGTTGAGGATGCTGGGCCGGCA